GTCAGCCTGCAAAGGAAACACATCAGGAATCCCACTTGGAGACCACGGAATGGATTGATCCCGTTTCCTGCCCCCGGGAATGAGGGGAAAGGTTGCTTTTCTGATGGTTGGAAGGGGTTTAGAGTGAGAATCCAGGTTGGAAACGGGCTTGGAGCAAGCTGCTCCAGTGGAAGGTGGGCTTGGAACTGGATGAGCTTTAAGGTCCTTTCCAACCCAAACCATTCCATGGTTGTATAGAATGGGATGTGGGGGGGGATGCCCGTTTCTGACCCAGGGATCGCCGTTCTCCTGCTGTTTCATGGAATCAGTGAGGTTGGAAAAGAGCTTTAAGCTCATCCAGTGCATCCCTTGCTCCCTAGGAGCAGAGCCCAGCCCCTCCTGGCTCCATCCTCCTCTCAGGCACTTGTAGGGAGCGATCAGGTGCCCCCTGAGCCTTCTCTTCTCCACACTGAACCCCCCAGGTCCCTCAGCCCTTCCCCATCACAAGATAAGGATGTGCACGATGTAGCTTACAGGGATTCCTTATGGAATGCTTTGGGATGAAAAGACCTTAAAGCTCATCCAGCTCCAACCCTTGATGTGGGCAGGGACACTTCCATTGGAGCAGGGTGCTCCAGCTCCCCCCCCCCCCCCCCCCCCGCCACCGTTGTCCTCTCTGGATCCTCTCCACATCCATCCGTTATCCATCCATCCATCCTTCATCCATCCATCCATCATCCATCTATCCATCCTTCATCCATCCATCCCTCCATCATCCATCCATCATCCATCCATCCATCCATCATCCATCCATCCATCATCCATCCATCCATCATCCATCCATCTGTTCTTCCATCCATTATCCATCCATCCATCCATCTGTCATCCATCCATCCACTCATCCATCCATCATCCATCCCTCCATCATCTATCCATTATCCATCCATCATCCATCCATCCCTCCATCATCCATCCATCCATCCATCATCCATCCATCCATCCATCCATCCTTCATCCATCCATCCCTCCATCCATCCATCCTTCATCCATCCATCCCTCCATCATCCATCCATCCATCATCCATCCGTTCTTCCATCCATTATCCATCCATCCATCCGTCATCCATCCATCCACTCATCCATCCATCATCCATTCCTCCATCATCTATCCATTGTCCATCCATCCATCCATCATCCATCCATTATCCATCATCCCTCCATCAACCACCCATCATCTATCCATTATCCATCATCCATCCATCATCCATCCATTATCGATCCATTATCCAACATCCATCTATTATCGATCCATTATCCATCTATTATCCATCCATTATTGATCCATCATCGATCCATTATCCATTATTGATCCATCATCGATCCATTATCCATCTATTATCGATCCATTATTGATCCATTGTCCATCCATTCTCAATCCATCATCCATCCACTATCAATCCATTATCCATCCATTATCGATCCATTATCCACCCATTATTGATCCATTATCCATCCATTATCCATCCATCATCCATCCATTATCCATCTATTATCGATCCAGTATCCATTATCCACCCATTATCGATCCATTACCCATCCATTATCCATTATCCATCTATTATCGATCCAGTATCCATTACCCACCCATTATCGATCCATTACCCATCCATTATCCATTATCCATCTATTATCGATCCAGTATCCATTACCCATTCATTATCGATCCATTATCCATCCATTATCGATCCATTATCCACCCATTATCGATCCAGTATCCATTACCCACCCATTATCGATCCATTGCCCCTCCATCACCCCTCCATCCCGGTACCTGCCCGGGCTTCCTCCGCCGCTCCCTCACGAACTCCGCTTCCCATCGCTTCAGCAGCGCCTTCACCTCCCGCAGCCGCTCCATGGGGCCGGGGCCCGGCGGCTCTGGAGCGGGGTCAACGCGGAGATAAGGGGAGGGGGTCCCGGTCCGGGGTAGACGTGGCCGCCCCGGGGATGCGGGGGGGTCCCGGTGCGGGGTAGACGTGGCCGCCCCGAGCCCCCCGTCCCTTAGAGCGGCGGCGGCAGCGCGAACCTCTGGCTCCCGCCAGTCGTCATCCAATGGGAAGCGAGGAAGCGATGACAGACAGCGACAAGAGCCAATGGGGTGGGAGAAGCGCGGTCGTCGCGGCCGTTGGTCCCGCCTCTTGCCGGCGGATGTCGCGTTCTGATTGGTGGAGCCCGGAGTCGGCGCGGAAGAGGAGAGGGGTGAGGAGAGCGGCGGTGAGAGGGTGCGGGCGGCGCCATTTTGGGGGGGGTCCTGTGGGGGGGGGGGGGTGTGTGTGTGTGGGGGTGCCGGGGGGGTCGAGGGGGGGAGGCTGGGTTAGGGGGTGCCGGGGGGTGGGGGGGGGCTGGGTTAGGGGGTGCCACAGTGAGGGGGGCCTGGGGAAGCGGTCTCACGCGGGGGGCGGGTTTAGGGGGTCCCATAGTGAGGGGGGCCTGGGTTAGGGGTCTCGGGGGGGGGGGCTGGTTTAGGGGGTCCCATAGTGGGGGGTGGGGCTGGGTTAGGGGTCCTGTGGGAAAGGGGGGGCTGGTTTAGGGGTTCCCATATGGGGGGGGGAGGGCTGAGTTAGGGGTCCCATGGGGGGGGCTATTTGAGGGGCTCCCATAGTGGGGGGGGCCTGGGTTAGGGGGTCCCATAGTGGGGGGGGGGGGGGCTGGGTTAGGGGTCCTGTGGGGAGGGGGGCTGGTTTAGGGGTTCCCATGGGGGGGGGGAGGGGGGCTGGGTTAGGGAGTTGGGGGGGGGGGGGCCTGGTTTAGGGGGTCCCATAGTGGGGGGGGGGGGCTGGGTTAGGGGTCCTGGGGGGGGGGTGCTGGTTTAGGGGTTCCCATATGGGGGGGAGAGGGCTGGGTTAGGGGTCCCATGGGGGGGGGCTATTTGAGGGGCTCCCATAGTGGGGGGGGCCTGGGTTAGGGGGTCCCATAGTGGTGGGGGGGGGGGGCTGGGTGGGCTGGGTTAGGGAGTTCTGTGGGGAGGGGGGCTGGTTTAGGGGCTCCCATAGTGGGGGGGGGGTCCTGGTTTAGGGGGTCCCATAGTGGGGGGGGGGGGCTGGTTTAGGGGGTCCTCTGGTGGGGGTCCTGGTTTAGGGGTTCCTATAGTGGGGGGGGGGCCTGGGTTAGGGGACCTGTGGGGAAGGGGGGGCTTGTTTAGGGGTTCCCATATGGGGGGGGGGCTGGGTTAGGGGGTCCTCTGGTGGGGGTCCTGGTTTAGGGGGTCCCATAGTGGGGGGGGGGGGGCTTGTTTAGGGGTTCCCATATGGGGGGGGGGGTCCTGGGTTAGGGGGTCCCATGGGGTGGGGGGGGCTGGTTTAGAGGTCCCATAGTGGGGAGGGGGGGCCCTGGTTTAGGGGGCCCTCTGGTGGGGGGGCTGGTTTAGGGGTTCCTATGGGGGGGGCTGGGTTAGAGGGTCCTGTGGTTGGGGGGGGGCTGGTTTAGGTGTTCCCATGGGGGGGGGGGGGGGGGCTGGTTTAGGGGGTCCCATAGTGGTGGTGGTGGGGGGCTGGGTTAGGGGGTCCCATGGGGGGGGCCTGGTTTAGGGGGTCCTGTATGGGGGGGCGGGGCTGGTTTGGGGGTGTTGTGGGAGACTTAATGGGGTTGCATTAGGGGAGATGGGGGGGGCGCTATGGGTGCTGTGGGTGCCCTTTTAGTGGGGTCTGGTTTAGGGGTGCAGGGGGGGGCCTGTGATGGGGCACAGGGGTGCTGTGTGGTGCCCCATTGATGATGGGTCTGCTTTAGGGGTGCCCCATGGATGATGGGGCTGGTTTAGGGGTGCCCCATGGATGATGGGTGCTGGTTTATGTCTGCCCCACTGATAATAGGTCTGGTTTAGGGGTACCCCATTGCTGATAGGTCTGGTTTAGGGGTGCCTCATTAATAATGGGCCCAGTTTATGATGCAGTGGAGTGCCCCATTGATGATGGGTCTCGTTTAGGGCTGCCCCATTGATGATGGATCTGCTTGAGGGGTGCAGTGGCGTGCCCCATTCATGATGGGTCTGGTTTAGGGGTGCCCCATTGATGTCGGGTCTGGTTTAGGGGAGCCCCATTGATGATGGGCCTGGTTTAGGGCTGCCCCACTGATGTCTGGTCTTTTTTAGGGGTGCTGTGGGGTGCCCCATTGATAATTGGTCAGATTTAGGGCTGCCCCATTGATGTCTGGTCTGGTTTAGGGGTGCTGTGGGGTGCCCCATTGATGATGGGCCTGGTTTAGGGGTGCCCCATTGATGTCAGGTCTGCTTTAGGACTGCCCCATTGATGTGTGTGTGTGGGGTCATGTTACATATCCCACCACAGCCTTCCTTTTGCCTCTTGCCCCAGGTCCCCCCTTTCCTCTCCCTGTGTCTGTGTCCCCCCCGCTCCCTTGGGTGCCTCCGTGGGGCCAGCCCCACAGCACCATGCAGAGCCTCATCTTCCTCGTTTAGGGGTGCCCCATTGATGATGGGCCTGGTTTAGGGCTGCCCCATTGATGTCGGGTCTGGTTTAGGGGTGCTGTGGGGTGCCCCATTGATAATTGGTCTGGTTTAGGGGTGCCCCATTGATGTCGGGTCTGGTTTAGGGCTGCCCCATTGATGTCGGGTCTGGTTTAGGGGTGCCCCATTGATGATGGGCCTGGTTTAGGGCTGCCCCATTGATGTCAGGTCTGGTTTAGGGGTGCTGTGGGGTGCCCCATTGATAATTGGTCTGGTTTAGGGCTGCCCCATTGATGTCAGGTCTCCTTTAGGGGTGCAGTGGCGTGCCCCATTGATGATGGGCCTGGTTTAGGGCTGCCCCATTGATGTCGGGTCTGCTTTAGGGCTGCCCCATTGATGTCAGGTCTGCTTTAGGACTGCCCCATTGATGTGTGTGTGTGGGGTCATGTTACATATCCCACCACAGCCTTCCTTTTGCCTCTTGCCCCAGGTCCCCCCTTTCCTCTCTCTGTGTCTGTGTCCCCCCCGCTCCCTTGGGTTCCTCCGTGGGGCCAGCCCCACAGCACCATGCAGAGCCTCGTCTTCCTCTGCGCCCGCCGCCTGCTTGGCCACCGGCCCGGCGCCCGCCGCGCGCTGCCCTTCCTGCCCTCCGAGCTCTACCCCGTCCTCTTCCAAGCGGCCTTCCTGGACGGCCGGGCCCTGGCCCTACAGGACCTGGTCACCTCCTGGCCCTTCCCAGTGCTCAGCTTCCAGTGCCTCCTGGGCCGCTGCGGGCACCCGCGGCACCGCGCGCACCGCGCGCCCCACAGCCCCGACAAGCTCTGTGTCCAAGCCGTCCTCGCCGCCGTGGTGGCCCACGTCAGGCGGGAGCTGGAGGAGTCCCAGCAGACCCCCAGGTACCGCGGTCCCTTGGGGTGACGGGCTGGGATTGGGTCCCTCATGCCCTATGGGAAGGGGGGGGGTGGTGGTGGTGGTGGTGGTGGTGGTGCTCATCATCAATGCTGGACTGGGAGCGTCGTGGAAGGGTTTGGGTTGGAAGGGACCTTGAAGAGCACCCACTTCCGTGGGGGCACCTTGCACTAGAGCGGGGTGCTCCAAGACTTGGCCAATCGGTTCCGGTGATCCAGCCGCCTGCTTGGCCACCCAGGTCCCGGCACCCGCGTGGTGCTGAACCTCATCCCAAGGTCCCATCCAACTCTTCCCGGCCTTCCTGGACGGCCGGGCCCTGGCCCAGCCATGTTTCCATCCCTTGTCCAAAACCCCATTGCTCCAGTGCCTCCTCCGCCTGGCACCCGGATCAGCGCGCAGCGCGCCCCACAGCTTCCGACAAGCTCTGTGTCAACCCCTTCGCCGCCGTGGTGGCCCCTCGTGGTGATGCCTCATCCCAAGGTCCCATCCAACTCTTCCCCTTCCAGTGACGCCGTTCCTCCTCATCCCATGCCTTGCCAAAACTATTGGAAGCCCCAGGTGGTGGTGGTGGTTGGTGGTGGTGGTGGTGGTGGTGCCCCTTCCAGTGCCCCAGCTGGACTGGGGAGCTCGTGGAAGGGTCCCATCCACGGGTTGGAAGGGACCTTATCCCCATCCCTTGTCCAAAGCCCCATTGCTCCAAGCCCGGTGCTCAACCTGCCAATCAGTTCCGGTGATCCAGAGTTTCTCCATTCGACCCCTTCCAGTGTCCCGGCACCCTCGTGGTGATGAACCTCATCCCAAGGTCCCATCCAACTCTTCCCTCTTCCAGTTGGAGCCGTTCCTCCTCATCCCATGCCTTGTCCAAAACCCCATTGCTCCAAGCCCCATCCAGCTTGGCCTGAATCACTTCCAGTGATCCAGAGTTTCTCCATTCAACCCCTTCCAGTGCCCCAGCACCCTCATGGGGAAGAACTTCATCCCAAGGTCCCATCCACGTCTTCCCTCTTCCAGTTGGAGCCGTTCCCCCTTATCCCATCCCTTGTCCAAAGCCCCATTGCTCCAAGCCCGGTCCAACCCGGCTTGGATCAGTTCCAGTGATCCAGAGCTTCTCCATTCAACCCCTTCCACTGCCCCAGCACCCTCATGGGGAAGAACTTCATCCCAAGGTCCCATCCACGTCTTCCCTCTTCCAGTTGGAGCCGTTCCTCCTCATCCCATCCCTTGTCCAAAGCCCCATTGCTCCAAGCCCGGTCCAACCTGCCCTGGATCAGTTCCAGTGATCCACAGCTTCTCCCTTCAACCCCTTCCACTGCCCCAGCACCCTCGTGGTGACGAACCTCATCCCAAGGTTCCATCCAACTCTTCCCTCTTCCAGTTGGTGCCCTTCCTCCCCATCCCATGTTTCCATCCCTTGTCCAAAACCCCATTGCTCCAAGCCCCATCCAACCTGGCCTGGATCAGTTTCAGTGATCCAAAGCTTCTCCATTCAACCCCTTCCAGTGTCCCGGCACCCTCATGGTGATGAACCTCATCCCAAGGTCCCATCCACGTCTTCCCTCTTCCAGTTGGAGCCGTTCCTCCTCATCCCATGTCTCCATCCCTTATCCAAAGCCCCGGTCCAGCTTTCCTGGAGCCCCATTAGGCACTGGACCTGCTCCAAAGTCTCCCCGGAGCCTTGAAGGCTTCCAGGGATGGAGCCTCCATCACTTTGGGCCTCACCACCCCCATGAGGGCCGGAGCGCGGTGTGGGCCACCCCCAGCTCTCCCCATTCCCTACTTTCCCCCCCGCCCCAACCCCATTCCCCATCTCCTCAGCGACAGACAGTGCCACCTGCGGGTGTTGGACATGACGGGTCTCCAGGATGACGACACCACCGCCACCGCCCGCGGGCCAGAAGGGATGAGCCTATGGTCGGGCACGGTGGCGTTGGCCAAAGCTTGCCTCGAGGTGGCCAAACACCAAAGGGAAGTGCAGAAACGCAATTCCAAGCGGCGCAGAACCCCCTCGGGAAGCTCCTCCCCGCCCCACGCCGTCGGCGTCGAGATCCGCGCCGACCTCTTCGTCAACGGCACGTCGTCCGGCGTCCTCCGCGACGCTCTCCAAGCCACTGGCAGCCCCCTGCGGCTCCGCTGCCGGGATTTCCACGCCGAGGAGCTGTCGGTGACCGGGATCGTGGCGTTGTTGGAATGCCTGGATCCCGGCGGCGTGCGCCGCGTGGATCTGCGCTTCAACAACCTGGGCCTGGCGGGGCTCTGCGCCGTGGTGCCGCAGCTCAGCCGCTTCCCGGATCTGCTCAGCCTCAAGCTGCCCTACAGCAACGTGGACGTGCGGAGGCACGCGGCCGGAGCCGACGCCGGGTTCCGGCGTCTTTCCACGCACCTCGGGAAGCTCCGGGCCCTCCGGGAGCTCAACTTGGGATCGTCGAGGTTGTCCGGGAAGCTCAGGCAGCTGCTACGGTGCGGATCCAAGGGGGAGATGGGATCCGGAGGGAGGTGGGGGCGTGGGTGGACATCAGGAGGTTCGGTGAGGTGGGGGTGTGGGTTGGGTGATCCCGTAAATGGACTGGGGTGGATGGATGGTGGATGGGTGGGTGGATGGATGGGTGGGATGGATCGATGATGGATGGATGGGTGGGATGGATCGATGATGGATGGATGGGATTGATGGGTGATGGATGATGGATGGATGGATGGGATTGATGGGTGATGGATGGATGGGTGGGATTGATGGATGATGGATGGATGGGTGGATGGATGATGGATGGCTTATGGATAGATGGATGATGGATGGATGAATGGGTGGGATTGATGGGTGATGGATGGATAGATGGATGGATAATGGATATACGGATGATGGATGGATGATGGATAGATGGATGGGTAGGATTGATGGATGATGGATGGATAGATGGATGGATGGGTGGATGGGATGGATCGATGATGGATGGCTTATGGATAGATGGATGATGGACAGATGAATGGGTGGGATTGATGGGTGATGGATGGATGGATGGATGGGATTGATGGATGATGGATGGATGGGTGGGATTTATGGATGATGGATGGATGGATAGATGGATGGATGATAGATGGATGGCTTATGGATAGATGGATGATGGTGGGATTGATGGGTGATGGATGGATAGATGGATGGATAATGGATATAAGGATGATGGATGGATGGATGATGGATGGATAGATGGATGATGGATAAATAAAGCATGGCTGGATGGATGATGGATGGATGGGTGGGACTGATGGATAGATGGATGGATAATCGATATATGGATGATGGATGGATAGATGGATGATGGATGGATGGATGCATGATGGATGATGGATGGATGGATGCATGATGGATGGATGGATGGATGGATGGATGATGGATGGATGGATGGATGGATGCATGATGGATGATGGATGCATGATGGATGATGGATGATGGATGGATAGAGCATGACTGAATGGAGGATGGCTGGATGGGGGGGCTGGCTGGCTGGCTGATGGCTGATGGATGGACAGGTGGATGGGATGGTTGGCTGGATGGCTGATGCCCGATGGATGGATGGGATGGATGACGGATGGATGGCGCAGCCCTGAGAAGAAGGACTTGGGGGGTGCTGCGTGAGGAGAATCACCCCATGATTTGTGTTTTGCTTTGGGAACCATCCCCACCCCATTGATCGACAGCTTGATCCCGGTGGCTTTGGTGTCCTCACGGCTCCTTCTCCCTCTTCCCACCAGGAACCTGGAAGCTCCTCTGGAAAGCCTGGAACTGGCCTTCTGCTACCTCCTTCCCGGCGACCTTGCTTTCCTCTCCCAAAGCATCCACGCTCCGGCCCTGAAGAAGCTGGACTTGAGCGGCCACCACTTCACCGAGAGCCTTCTCCAACCTCTGTGCTCCCTCCTGGAGAACTCCTCCTCCCTCCTCCACCTGGATCTCATGGAATGCCAACTCACAGACTCCCGCTTGGAAGCCCTGCTCCCGTCTCTGTGCCGTTGCTCCCGCCTCCGATGCCTCGGCCTCTTCGGCAACCCTCTGTCCACGCCGGGCCTCAAGACCTTGCTACGCCAAACCTCCGTCCTCCCGGACCTCTGCCTCGTGGTCTACCCTTACCCCGTGGACTGCTACAGCCGGGAGACGCCGCGGGCACCGCCGCCTTCCGCCGGGCCCTTGGAGGATGCTTTGGATGAGGAACGCTTCACCGCCGTCAGCGCCGAGCTCTGCCGCATGCTGGTGAGCTCCGGCCGTGACAACGCCATGTGGACCGCCAGCCTCTGCCGCCAAGGCACCCTCGACTACTTCGCCTTGGGAGAGCTTCAGCCCAACCCACAGCGCTGATGTGGCATCACTTGGGGGGGGGACACGGGACGGAGCCCATGGTCCAACGCCAAAACTGGGGCCGTTTCTCTTGGTTTTGGAGCTTTTGGCATCTACCGGAGGTTCCTCCTTGGGGTTTTTTTTTGGTGGCGGGGGGGTTGGCACCTTCTCCCTGAGGTCATCTCCTCGTTTGGGAGCTTGGTTGGCATCTCAACAGGGTTTTCTCCTCGGTTTGGAGCTCTTTTGGCACCTTCTGCTTGAGGTTATCCTCGTTTTGGTGCCTCTTTGGCACTTTCCACCCTGTTTTCTCCTTGGTTTGGTGCCACTTTGGCACCTTCGCTTGAGGTTTTCTCGTTGTTTTGGTGGTTTTTTTTGACATCTACCTGATGTTTCTCCTTGTTTTGGAGCTTTTTTGGCCTCTCAAGAAGGTTTTCTCATTTTGGTGGAACATTTTGGCATCTAGCAGGGGTTTTCTCCTCGTTTTGGAGATCTTTTGGCACCTTCTGCTTGAGGTTATCCTCGTTTTGGTGCCTCTTTGGCACTTTTCACCCTGTTTTCTCCTTGGTTTGGTGCCACTTTGGCACCTTCTCCCTGAGGTTTTCTCCACGTTTTGGAGCTTTTTTGGCATCTACCTCAGGTTGCTCCTTGTTTTGGTGTTTTTTGGCATCTACCTGAGGTTGCTCCTTGGTTTGGTGCCACTTTGGCACCTTCTCCCTAAGGTTTTCTCCATGTTTTGGAGCTTTTTTGGCATCTCCCTGAGGTTTTCTCCTTGTTTTGGTGTTTTTTGGCATCTACCTGAGGTTTCTCCTTGGTTTGGAGAAACTTTGGCACCTTCTCCCTAAGGTTTTCTCCACGTTTTGGTGGTTTTTGGCATTTCCCTGGGGTTTTCTCCATGTTCTGGTGCTTCTTTGGCACCTTCCCCTGAGGTTTCCTCCTCATTTTGGTGCCACTTCGGCATCTCCCTGCAGTTTCTCCTTGGTGGGTGCTGCTTTAGCACCTTTTCCCTGAGGTTTTCCCCTTGTTTTGGAGCTTTTTGGCCATCTCCCTGAGGTTTCCCCCTCATTTTGGTGCCTCTTTGGCCCCTTTTCCAGGTTTTCTCCTCAGTTGGGAGCTTTTTGGCCATCTCCCTGAGGTTTCCCCCTCATTTCGGTGCCACTTTGGCACCTTCTCCCTCAGGTTTCTCCTTGGTTTGGAGCTCTTTTGCCACTTGCTCCCACCACCACCACCACCACGGCTTCGATGCCACCATTCCGGCTCCGCCATTCCTCGTTATCCAGGTTCATTAACACAAGGAATTCCTTAATAAATCCGGTTGCTTTGGAAGGGCTCGTGGCAAAGAACCCGGCACCGCGGCGCCTTTTATTATCACTCTCCCCCCCCCCAGATCCCATCCCGACCTCCCAAATTCCCACAAGGAATCAGCTCTGTGCTCCCACTTTAAGCTTCTTTAAGGCTTGGGGTCTGGCCCCGGTGGGCTCTGATGGGGACACCGGGAATCGCGGCTCAACCCTGGCGCGTGGAGCCGGGAACATCCGCGCGTTCCCTGGCGCTTCCCGCACGGAGCAACGGGAGCAGCTCCCCGGTGAGCCGGTAGCTCCGGCTTTCCCATAGGAAGTGCGTTGGTGGCTGCTCCATCCCGTGCTCGTACTGGAAGCAGGAGCTCCATTCCCAAGCCAGCGCCGAGCGCACCAGCCCCACGCCGCCGGATTTGGCCGGCGCCGGATGGTAGAGCCGCCCGTTTTCCGGCAACACCGTCAGCTTTCCCGGTTGGAATGGCACCGCCAAGCGCTCCCCCCCGCCGCAGTAGGAGAGGAGCCCGGGATCTCCCGGTAGGAGGTGGGTGAAGACAACGGGCTGATCCTCACAGCGGAGGAAATTCCGCTCCCGGCCGCAGCGGGATAGGAACGGGAATTCCGCCTCGTAGCGCCCGCTCCGGTTCTGCTCCAGCTGCTTGAAGAAGAAGCTCAGGAATGCCACGTCTGCAGGGATATGGGACATGGGGATGTGGTTAAACGCGGCTCTTCCGGGTTTGGGAAGCTGATGGGAGGAGGGATGGAAGCAATGGGAAGCGCCAATGGGAAGTGATGGTAGGGAAGGAAGGGATATGCAAATAGGGATGTCTGATCCCCCCCCTTCCAGTCACTGCTGCCATGGGATGGGATCCTGATTAAGGATGGATGGGATCCTGGTGATTGGATCTTAGGGATGAGATCCCAATTAAGGATGGATGGGATCCTGGTGTCGGGATCTCAGGGATGAGATCCCCATTAAGGATAGATGGGATCCTGATGATTGGATCTCAGGGAAGAGATCCCGATTAAGGATGGATGGGATCCTGGTGATTGGATCTCAGGGAAGAGATCCCGATTAAGGATGGATGGGATCCTGGTGATTGGATCTCAGGGATGAGGTCCTGATTAAGGATGGATGGGATCCTGATGATTGGATCTCAGGGATGAGATCCCAAGTGATGATAGCAGCCTGATTTTAAGGATCAGCTCCCAGTTAAGGATGAGATTCCAATTAAGGACTGGATCTTGATAAAGGATGGGATCCTGATTAAGGCTGGGATCCCAGTTAAGGATGAGATTCCAATTAAGGACCGGATCTTGATAAAGGATGGGATCCTGATTAAGGCTGGGATCCCAGTTAAGGATGAGATCTGGTTTTAGGATGAGATCCCAATTAAGGATTGGATCCTGATTAAGGATCTGATCTCTAGGATCGCATCCCCGTTAAGGATGAGATCCCCATTAACAATTGGATTTCAAGGATCAGATCCCACTTAAAGATTAGATCCCAAATAAGGATGGGATCCGTATTAAAGATAGGCTCCTGGTTAAGGATGGAATCGTAAGGGCTGGATTCTGAATCAGGATTGGATCCCAAGGATTGGATCCCAATTGAATACTCCCAATACGGATGAGATCCCAATTGAGGACTGGATCCCAGTTAAGGATCAGATCCTTACTAAGGATCCATCCCAGTTAAGGACTGGATCCTCATTAAGGATCAGGGCTCATGGATGAGATCCTGATTGTGGATCAGATCCCAGTCAAGTACTGGATCCCGATTCAGGATGGGATCCCAAGGACTGGATCCCAGATGAGGCTGAGATCCCAGTTAAGGATGTGATCCCAGGGAAGGGCTGCTTTTGGGGTGGGTTTGGGGCTCGGTACCTTTGAAGCAGGTGATGAAGTTCTTCACTTTGGTGTCATCCAGGAAAAGCTGTTGGAAAAGGGGGAAAAAGCCTCTGAATCCCAAAGTCTGCCTGGGATCCCTCTGGGATCTCTTTGGGATCTGCCTTGGATCCATGGGGGTTCTGTTTGGGATCTGCTATGGATCCATGTGGGTTCTGTTTGGGATCTGCTATGGATCCACGTGGGTTCTGTTTGGGATCTGCCATGGATCCACGTGGGTTCTGTTTGGGATCTGCCATGGATCCACGTGGGTTCTGTTTGGGATCTGCCATGGATCCACGTGGGTTCTGTTTGGGATCTGTCTGGGATCTGCTATGGATCCACGTGGGTTCTGTTTGGGATCTGCCATGGATCCATGTGGGTTCTGTTTGGGATCTGTCTGGGATCTGCTATGGATCCACGTGGGTTCTGTTTGGGATCTGTCTGGGATCTGCCATGGATCCAAGTGGGCTCTGTTTGGGATCCAGCCAGGATCCATCTGGGATCTCCCCAGGATCCATCCCATCCCCGGCATCCCGAGGCCATTACCGTCCTTTTGGGATTCACTGAGGGCCCGTTTGGGATCCATCCGGGATCTGTTGTGGATCTGGTTCTAGCCCCCCCCCCAAAGGACACCCCCCTTGTTCCCAGTGTTCCCCCTGTGTTCCCTCTGTTCCCGGTGTTCCCCCTGTTCCCATTGTTCCCAGTGCCCCCCCTGTTCCCGTTGTCCCCCCTGTTCCTGTTATTCCCTTTGTTCCTGTTGTGTGTTCCCGTTGTCCCCCGTTCCCGGTGTTCCCATTGTTCCTGCTGTCCCCCCCGTTCCCGTTATTCCCGGTGTTCCCCCTATTCCCAGTGTTCCCATTGTGTGTTCCCAGTGCCCCACTGATCCCGTTATTCCCGGTGCCCCCCCTGTTCCCGGTGTTCCCCCTGTTCCTGGTGTTCTCCCTGTTCCCATTGTTCCCAGTGTTCCCCCTGTTCCCGGTGCCCCCCTGTTCCCCGTGTTCCCTCTGTTCCCATTGTCCCCCCCCGTTCCCCCTATTCCCTGTGTTCCTGGTGTTTTCCCCCGTTCCCGGTGTCTCCGTTGTTCTCCCTGTCCCCATTATTCCTGTTGTCCCGGGTGTTCCCCCCGTTATCCCTGTTATCCCCATTGCCCTCCCCCGTTATCCCCGTTGTTCCCATTGTTCTCCCTGTCCCCGTTATCCCTGTTGTTATCCCTGTTATCCCTGCTGCCCCCGTCCCCGTTATCCCCTCCGTTATCCCTGTTGTTATTCCTGTTATCCCCACTGTCCCCATTATCCTGCTGTGTCCCCGTTATCCCTGTTGTTCCCGTTATCCCTGCTGTTATACCCCCCATTATCCCCCCTGTTGTTATCCCCGTTATCCCCCCGTTATCCGTTGTTGTTCCTGTTATCCCTGCTGTTATCTCCCCCGTTATCCCCCTTGTTGTTATCCCCGTTATCCCCCCGATATCCCCATTATCCCCGTTGTTATCCCTGTTATTGTTCCCGTTATCCCCCTGTTATCCCCGTTGTTCCCCCTTTGTTCCTGTTATCCCCGTTGTTGTTCCCCTTATCCCTGTTGTTATCCCCGTTGTTCCCCCCGTTATCCCCGTTGTTGTTCCTGGTATCCCTGTTGTTATCCCCCCCGTTATCCCCCCTGTTATCCCCCCGTTATCCCCCCCTTATCCCTGTTGTTATCCCCGTTGTTCCCCCCATTGTCCCCGTTATCCCCGTTGTTCCCCCCCATTATCCCCCCTGTATCCCTGTTGTTATCCCCGTTGTTCCCATTATCCCCGATGTTCCCCCCGTTATCCCCCCATTATCCCTGATGTTCCCCCCGTTATTCCCCCGTTATCCCTGTTGTTATCCCCGTTGTTCCCCTCATTATCCCCGTTGTTCCCCCGTTATCCCCCTATTATCCCCCCGTTATTCCCATTGTTCCCCCCCCCGTTGTTCCCCCCCGTTATCCCCCCCATATCCCCCCCCGTTCTCCCCATTGTTCCCCCCCGTTGTTCTCCCTGTTATCC